ATATGTACATGTACATCCGAGCCGTGGTTCATTGCACAGCACTCCAACCAATCACCACTCTACTGCCCATTACCTGCAAGAGATTGAGCTTTGTCTGCAGAGATGCGTTTGCCTCTTCGAGTTGGATGCATTTTCCCGTCAGTTCACGTTCTCGTTGACGCGCAACCTCCCGCTGATTCATGTGATCGGCCTGACAGTTGTGTGTGTGTGTGTTTGTGTGTGTGTGTGTGTGTGTGAGTGAGTGAGTGAGTGCGAGTAAGTGGGGAGTGAGTGAGTGAACATCAGAGTGAACAGGCGAGTGAGCGCAAGCCTGCGACCATACCCCAGGCGAGGCTCCAACCACCAACATGCCAAAGCCCAAGCCCAAGACACCTCGAGGTTGTTGATGTGGAGAAGAGGATCCCCCGTCCGCAACACGTCGCGTGGTGCCGGCCGCTGCGCATCCCCCGTCGTCTTTGATGGCGATGGCGGTGTTGACGATGACGACGGTGATTGAACCGTCAGCGTTGCCACTCCCGATGAACTGCCGCGAAGACGCGAAATCTCGGCGTCCTGACATGCACGTGGCGATGGGAACAATGTGGTCCATAATCGTTGTGAGTTGGTGGTGAAGACAGTGGTGGTGGAGACAGAGAAGCATCGCAGAGGAGTTCGCTGACATGACGATCGCGTTGGTGCATTGAAGTGCTGACATGACGACAACAACAATCAACCATCTGCACCTTGTCAGCGAGCAGAGCCATCTGTCTCTGTCGCGTCCGCTGCTGTTTCACGTGCAATTCTTCCACCGCTTTCCGGTGCTCCGATTTCAACCGCGAAATCTCAGACTCCAGCCTGCAATTGTGTGTGTGTGTGTGTGTGTGTGTGAGTGAGTGTGTGTGAGTGTGTGTTGGGGGATGTGAAACATGAACGAGGGGACTGAACAGCAACGCGACACCAGAAACACGCCAAAAACGTGCCCCCTTCCTCCTCAACACGTTTCCCCAATGATACGTACTCGCTCCTGACAGCCTCCTTCTCTGACTCCCATCGATCACACGCGTCCTTCATGGCGGCCTCCTGCTGCTCCGCCGTTGCCCCGCAGCGATGACTCCAGTTTGTCCCCGCTGCCGTGTCAGGATCGCAACTTGCCGGCTCAGCTCGTTATTTCTGCTGGCTCAGGTCCCTGCTCACGGCGACGTGTGTGTGAGTGGGAGATCGAGAGAGAGAGAGGGGGAAGGAGGG